TTGGAAAACCTTCGCTTCTTTATACGCTACACTACTTGTGGTATAAGGATATATTAAGTTTGTCCGGCCATATACAACAGCCAAAACTTTTACTATATCGATCCTTTCGGAATCACTTTCTGATTTGATTTAAGCATGTCTGTCCGTCTTCTTTTCTTGTATTCAACTTACAAGCCATAATTTTTGAGATATTTTGATGAAATTTGTTACACCGACAGTGTTTTGACCCAAAGACGAATGCTATTGCAAAAGATTGGAATCGGGACATTTGTTCGAGCATTTTTCATATAACGTTTTATGTTGAAAAGATCTTTATATGAATAACTGTACGGGAATGTAGAGGTTTGCGGGCCATCGTCTACTTTTTTCTTTTTTTTTTTTGCTAATGGTGTCGGCCAAATATTTTTGGTCTTAACTTTTCGATTATTTCGATACTTTAATTTATCATTATTCATTATCACGTAAGCGAAAAGAGAAAGAGAAAAAATGGTCTCTAAAATTAATTTTAGTACAATTTCACTCTTTACGCTTCAAGTGAACGGCTATTTATTATAATAATTATTTCGGAATATTTAAATCGATCGGTTTCGCGCATTCTAGTTCAATTAACATTCAAATGAAATGAAATGTGTTCTCTTATGAATTTCTCATTTTTCATATTTCTATCCTTTACAAAATTTGTGCTTTTCATTCAATTTTGATAAGAATTTTTTCTTTTCTTTTGAAAATGCAAACAGTTGAATAGTACTTAGGCTGCTAATAGAGAAGCTTCGTTCTGTTAAAGGCTGTGTCACTGCAGACAAAAATGCAAGTATTAAAATCAGCTATCGTAAGATATAAACTACAATCCGTATCGTAATATCTGACGTAATCCAGGACGGCAGCACAAGAATCTACTAATAAAGTCGTCTATATCATTACAACATAAACCATATATATGATATTAGAGTTAGAGACTTGGATCTAGAGCACTTGCTTTTATTGACTTGTTTCAATCAGTCTTTCAGCTTAAGAGTTTCGAGAAGAGTCACAAATATTTGATTTGAAAAAGGCAAGGATTCTTTTTTTTTTTTTCCTTTCTTAAGACTCAGTATTTTTATTTGATTGTATAGATCACCTAGGAGTGCGCATATTTCTGGAAAGTCGTTCTTATCTTATTTTTTTTCTTGTTCTTTTTCTCTTTCTTGTTCTCCTTTTCAGGGCGATTGAATTGAATCATTTTCAATAGGATTGCCCTTATCGTTGCTCAAATGTTGACCTCTACTACCATTAAAAAAAAATCAAAGTCGAAAATATTCAAATTAATATTGAAATAACTTGCAATCATATCAGTGCCATAATATTCATTATTCGAATAAGTCTTGTAACGTGAACTAGCGCTACTCATTCCTAATGCATTCTTACGAGTCATTGGCAGGAAGTTTCAGATCAAGATTTTTCCCTCCTTAACTTATCTTTTAACTGCGACTATACACATATCGTATATCGTATGTTGAATTGACAAATGATTTATGATTAAATAAATATATAGAATTGTATGTCCATCGAAGCAAGTTTTATTTATTTTATTAAATTGTCGGTACAGTGTTCTGCGATCTAAATCTGAACCTGCATTTCTCTTCTGGCGTTGATGAATGGACGTTCCACCTATGAATATTATTAGTTCACTCATACATATAAAAGTCAGATCACAAGTTTTGTTGCTTCCCTTGGCTGACGTTTCGATAAACTTAAATGTAATCGTTAGGTATACATGTGAGAAAGCTATCAAAAAAAAAAAAAAAAAAAAAATCCATTCAATCAAATCATTTTAATTATATCGAAAACTTTTATCTAAATGAATCATAAATTATTGTGAAATTTTAAATAGAAACAATAAAGCTCACTATTCATTTCAAAGTATTGTTTGAAACGGTCTAACAACAACATAATGCGTAGGAACTTAAACGAAAGGTAACACCATCTTGGAAAACTATGTACTAAGTACTTACGCATTTGTATACATTTAAGACACGTTTGACATGTAAGACATGCTTTCATAAAACACAATTAAAAAAAAAAAAAAAAAAGAAAAAAGAAAGACTTACAACAGTATACATATGCCATTGGAATTGCGCGGATTCGATGATTGTCAGAAGCAGTGAACCTTAAATTTATGCTATCACTATCATCTCCGTTTGTGTACTTATTCACTTTTATTGGTTCTTTGAAATAGCCTAACAAACTTTATTTATATATTAGTTTGGGGAAAAAGAAATCCATTGTTTTTATATGAATTTCAGGACTTTATTTAACACGCTTCGGATTGTCCGATTTGGGTCTAATGTGCATCGTTTTGTTGTATGATTTGTTGCCATTTTAAAGGTAACTTCAAAATGCCTCTCTCATAGAAGTCCTGGTCTCTATTTGCAAAAAACTCTAGTAGTCGATTTTCACAATCCTCCCTAGATTCCAATTTTTTATCATTAAAGAAATTTTGCAATGCAAGAAAAAGATGATAATCGCTTGGTGCCAAGTCCGGACTGTATGGCGGACGCATTAAAACTTGCCAACCAAGCTCCCGAAGCGAGTCACTGTAGATGTGTGTGGCCTAGCGTTGTCCTGGTGGAACACGACACCTCTCCTGTTGGCCAATTCTGGCCGTTTCTGGTCAATCGCTATCTTCAAACGGTCCAGTTGTTGACAATAGAGATCAGAATTTAGCGTTCGGCCATATGGAAGCAACTCATAATAAATAATCCCCTTCCAGTCCCACCAAATGCATAGCAAAACCTTCCTGGCCGTTTGAGGTGCTTCACCGCTCTTTGACCACGATCGTTTTCGCACAGGGTTATCGTATGTGATCCATTTCTCATCTCCAGTCACCATCCATTTAAGAAATGGGTCTATCTCATTCCGCTTGGCCAAGGCTTCGCAGATGGAAATTCGATCCATCATATTTTTTTCCGTTAATTGGTGTGGCACCCAAACATCGAGCTTCTTTTTGAATCCAGCGTTGTGTAAATGGTTTAAAACTGTTTTATGGTCGATTTTTAGCTCCTGAGCGATGTTACGACTGCTAACATGCCGGTCAACTTCGATCATTTCTCCAATTTTATCGACATTTTCGACGACCGGCCTACCTATGCGAGGTGCATCTTTAACATCAAAAATTCCTGACCGGAATCTACGAAACCAAAATTGTACATAATTGGCTGTTACAGTATCGGAACCATAAACACCATTCACAATTTTAGCCGCCTGGCTTGCATTTTCGCCTTTGTCAAAGAAAAACTGTAAAATGTACCGAATTTTCTCTTTGTTCACTTCCATTTTTAACACGCTGTAACTCACAACTGAATGCACCAAACAAAAAACAGCAAAAGAATTTTTTTTACTGCGAAATGTACAGTATGTAAATGTACAGTATCGGAAATTGTTTGATCGATACTTTACGAGAAATCTATCAGTGCAGCCATCTACCGAAAAAATAATGGATTTCTTTTTCCCCAAACTAATATATATAATGTTTGTTTGCCTTATAAACCATTAAACTTTTCTTATTCATCTCAATCGATTTGAGATTCCAGAGAGAAGATATGTTAAGTATCTATTACTAATATGTACATGTTGATATGTATATGATAATCAGACGTGATGCGGACTTCATTTATTTCATTTAACGTCAACTTAAATTTTTTTCTTTTGCTTTTCCATTACTATGATA